CTCTTTTTTTCCCTTTTTTTTTTTGAAAATAAAATATAATCAAAAGCTTAGGTTAGGAAAAGTAAGAATTAGAAAGAAAATTAAGGAAAGAATAGTGAGAAGAAAGGAAATTATACTGGAATGGAAAGACAGAAATAGAAAGGTAAATGAGATGTGGTAAGGAAATAGATAGCAAAGGAAAAGAAAGCAGCAACTAAGAACAACGAAAAAAGAAGTACACGAAAAGGAGAAGAAATGAAAGATAATGAAAGGCATAATGAACTAGAAAAGAAACGAAAGAAAAAAGAAAGGAAAAAAGGGGCAGTTAAAGAACAGAAATGAATAGAAAGATAAAGAAGGAAAAGGTAAAGAAAGAAAACGAAAAGGTAAAAGAAAAGGGAAAAAAGAAAGGAAACGAAAAGGTAGAGAAAGGAAAAAGCAACGGTAAAGAAAGGAAGAGAAAATGAAAGAAAACGATAAGATAAAGAACAGAAAAAAAACGAAAAGGTAAAAGAAAAAGAAAGAAAACGAAATGGTTAAGAAGGAAAATAAAAAGGTAAAGAAAGAAAAAGAAACCGGAAAAGAAAATGAATGGAAAAAGTGAAACAAGAAGGAAATAGAAATGAAAAAAAGGGAAGATAAAGAAAGACGAAAGGAAAGTATTAAGGAAAAGACACGAAAATAAAGGCAAGAAATCGAAAGATATAGAAGGAAAAGAAAAGAAAATGGTAAAGAAAGATAAAGGAAAGAACAAGAGATGTGCAAAGAAAAGAAAAGGAAAATATAAGGTAAGAAAAGGAAAATATATTGGTAAAGGAAAGAAAGAAAAGAAAGAAAAGGGTAAAAATGAAAAAAAGTAGAAAAATAAAAGAAGGAAAGTGGCTGGGGTGGGGGAAGAAAAGGGTAAAGAAAGAAAATAAAGTGAAGTAAAGAAAAAAGAGACAGGTGGTAAGAAAGGGACAGGGAAGAAAAGACAAAAAATAAGAAAAAAGGTAAGGTAATAAGGACAAGAAAATTAAATATTTAACAATTAGGTAGATCAAAAAAATAAATACAGCTACTGTATTTTTAAATTATTCATAACTTAACCTTGTATTAGTATATTTATAATTATTGTTATTATTCATTTATTTATTAGGTGAAACTTTTATTAATTTATTCCACTCCCTGTTGTAAAGCGCATAGAATTATTTTACATTATGCGCTATAAGTTGACAAATATTATTATCAACGTCATCCTCAGTATTAAACACCATCACCAAAATCGTCAACAATATCTACATCAACGAAGACCGCCCTTCTCGCTGTGGAATCCGCCATCAGTGCTGACTGTGAGCACGGGGTCAGTGCATTTGTCCGAAGGTCCTTTGGTCCGAAAGTCCGTTGGTCCGAAGGTCCGAAGGTCCGAAGGGCCTTTGGTCCGGAGGTCCGTTGGTCCGAAGTAATTAATTCAAAGATATACAAAAATATATTTGAAGAAAACATGTTCGGGACCACCATGTAGGTCTATATTGGCTAACAATATACAATTATTGCTAGCATGACTTGTCAGCTCAGTTTATGTATATTTTAAACAAATTATTAGAAATTGAAAAGATTCCAAGCGAATGGAGCGTAGGCCTAAGTATAACTTCCTAATGTTTAAGCAGGAGACAGAAAAGATTTTAATAACAATAGAGGAATTTAAGTAACTTCCATCCAGTGTTTGGAAAATCTTAACAGCTTTATTTACTTATGGCCGATGGGAAACAGTTAACTATTTTCTCACTTTTACAAAGCAGACACATTGACAGTGGCGGAGAAAGCATCGGGTAGGGGTGGGGGGAAAATGAATGGCAAGGTATTATTTTTTTTGGGAAGGGTGGGGGGAGCAAGTTCCCCGAAGAAAGCAAAGTGAGCGTGGTCGGGTGTCAAAATGTTTCGAAAGTGGTCCATGGGGCGGATCCCCCGGAAAATGTGACAATCTAGTGGTTGAGCGTGGTCGGGTGTCAAAATGTTTCAAAAGTGGTCCATGGGGCGGATCCCCCGGAAAATGTGACAATCTAGTGGTTTCAGATGGTTATTCAATCGATTCTAAATAGATAGTCTACTAATATGTAAAAAATACATATATATTTTTTTCTCCCAGACAAATTGTTTTTTTTTTTCTACTCTTCCGGGGGTGGGAGAACTGGGGGAAACAAATTTTCTGGGGGAATTTTCCCCACCCCTGTGCCCCCTGTAGTGCCGCCACTGCACATTAAAAGCAAATAAAAGAAGCACTAGACATGATTCGTATCATAGTACATTGAGTTGAGTTCATAATACTACTGGTAATAACTGGTAGTAACTAAAATTCTCACTGGGAACCTCTTCCTATCCACGATTGAGAGGAATTTTACTGATGTAAGTTAGCCAAATTTGCGAGTAATTTTATTTGGGGGCGGGGGTACGTCCTCCACTAGTTACGCCACTGCTCCCAAAAAGATGAACAACAAAGTAGGATGAAAACAAAATTTAAAAATATAGCCCATGTAATATCTGGTGCCACACATCGAGAAATGCTTTGAAAAAAGGAGGAAAAAAGAAGAGAGACGTTAGCGAGTGAGAAGAAGAAAACAAACACAAAACCTGTGTAATATATAAACACCTATATTGTTGGGTCCGCGAAAGGTTCGAACCCCAGAGACTCACTGCTGTTCTTGTTCTAGTTACCAAAACTTTCAAAGCCTCCAGCGTCGCCAGTTTTGAACGGACGTGATGGAAATGTGGTACACATAAACTAGGGGTAATTTTCAACAAACGTTCATTACCCTTTTTTAAGTTGGACCCCATCAGGGTTTTCCTACACCTACAAAACAAAACAAAACTTTGTTTATATAATTCTTGCTGCACGTTTTAGCAGTCTTTTTACAATGTATTTTTCTCGGAGGTGTTTCCAAAAACCGAAATTGCATAATCGATACATGGTTCGATTATGCTTAGGTAATAAGAGAGATTGGTGCATGCAATATTTCGACCAATTTCCTATGTTATGAATCTTGAAGCTTACAGACGTACTGTATATGATAATCCCATGTTAAGTTATCGTAGGCCTATACTATCTCTAAACCCAAATATCTTATATAGTTTACTTGTTCGATACGTTTTCCGTCCACATGAAATATTGAGGAAGGCAGATGAAAGTATATTCTGGTTTCTAATTAGCATGACATTTGTTTTAACTACATATATTTTCAAATTAATTCCGACATGCCATTTACCAATATTTTCTAAAATATTTGTAATTTTGTATTTAATCCATCAACTTGTGTTGCTAAAACATTAATAGCAACATCATCGGCAAATATACTGCAAGTCCCATAAAAATTAATTTTTAAATATCATTATTTATGAATAACAAAAATAAAATTGGACCCAAGACACTACCCTGTGGTATGCCAATTCCGATTGATTTAGGTGTGACATTTCACTATTTGCTTCCTTCCTGGCAAGGGGCCAAGAAATGAGCGTTCACGTCTCGGCCTTTCACCACTATACACGAAAAACCTATCGTTGAGTAATAAACCAATATGCTAAAGTCGTGTATATCATCCCTGGGGGAATGCAGTGGGGATGCAGACGGTGCGATCGCACCCCGCTAAATTGCATTAAGAAAATAATTGTTGTATTGTATTGTTGATATGAATTACTGGTTAATTAAGGTATGAGAGTGCAATTTCCCGGCAAATGAGGTCCATATAAACGATGAAGGATTATATCAGTTGAGTGGTACTTCCTAAAAGCATATTGGTACATTTATAAGGTGATTTTCATTGAGATATGTAATAATTTGATCTTGGACTTCACTTTTCAACAATTTTGGCTATGTGGCATACCACTGGGACTGGTCTATAATTGTTAAGAGTTTACCTTTGTATATGGAGGTAGTTATTGAGACTTTCCAATCGTTTAGAACCATACCATTCATTAATGATTTATTTATAATGGAACATAGATATTTCGCGATATAGCGTGATGAAAGTGACGTAAAATTAAGTGTGTGAATACCTTTTTGGGTTTTCCATCTGTTGTGTCTTCATTAATTGCGTTTGAAATGTATATATTACTAAAATAATCACTAAAATGTTCACAATCAAGATTTGGATGAATATTGTTTGAATTTTTGTTTATTATTTTCATCCTACAAAAAATTGAGTGTTTATATTTGTTTACAACTGATAAAAATTAATCTGATATGTATTTTTAAATTTTACTCGTGCATTTGTTTGTAAGTGAACGATTATTAAAAGGTGTTTGTCGGATAATTGTTTAACATGATCACAGTCATACATAATCTATGAAATTAGGTGTGATCCATTTCATTTTATTTAGCATAAGTAAATAAAACTAATGTAAAAAATAATTGTTGACATTGTTTCAATTGACAATTCAATATATATTGCCAATGTCCTTTTTCTTTTTTTCATAAGAAGTAGAAATGCTTATTATGGTCAGTCCAACATAGCCGGCTCTTCACAGATGCCCCCTGAGAACATCTAAAAATTAAAAATTAAAAAAAATCCAAATATTTATTGTCAAAATATTATAAGCTCGGAAGGACCCCAGCTCCAAAACCAATCAGTGGTACACATCTTAGTTGCCATATTCAATTTGCACGGGCGAAGGGCCCCAACTGTACTCTCGAACAAGGGTCCCCTCACAACCTAGTTTCGCCACTGGACGTTAGACAATATGTAGGCCTAGACCCATATATTTCTGGGTCTAGGACTAATGATAAAGTTTCTTAGTGTCTGTCTACCGTAATACTGTACATCCATAATTATGCAAAACCGTAGCAGATACGGATGTTCTGTAGAACTTGAGAATGAACTCTGATGATAGTCTGGACATTAGTGAGAACAAGGAGTTTTGAATAGCCTGTATTCATGTTCAGTTGTGATTGGTCAGTTGTTTGGTTTGATGGACATCATAAAAGGTCCATTATCCACAAAGGTTGCATGTTTTGAGAGAAATCAAATAAATCTGCACTACAAAATCCATTATTAGGTCAACATAGAAAGAATTTATTATCATTCTTAGATTTTAGATAATTTTAAATACTTTTCATGATTCTATTGCATGTACTGTATAAACAATTCCATTCAAATATAATTTCTTTACATCTACTCCACCATGTAAAAATCATTTATTACCTGTATTGTTCATAAAGGCCCTATTTAATTTCTTTGACGTTACCAATACGACGCCTTACTGAATTACGATGGTCCTGAGTGCCTCATTCAAATGCGTACATTTAACTGATGAAGCCTTTATAACATGGTCCAGACATAAAGCTATTTTTTTATTATATGGTCCAAGGAAGAACATTTATGTCCACATATTAATGAAAACAAAATATGAATACAGTGACAACTAAAATTAATTAAAAATAGGATAAAAAACACCACAATTGTTAAAATTATTGCAGAACAGAAATACAAATCTCACCAGGAAAATTAATATTAACAGACATTACTCATTTCTTGCAAATATTTTAAGATTAATACATTAATTTCATTAAAATGATTTACACTCTTTAATTTAAAAAAAAAAATCATATTGGCTTAGAATTACATTTACATATTCGGAAGATCTGCAATTTGGTGCAGAATTGATACAATTCATTGAGAATATTTTCATTACAAATTGTTGAATGAAAGGCTAACAATATCAGTACAATAATTACTATCATCTTGCTTGATACAGTTAAAAATATTGTCATTCTTTGATCTAATGATATTTTATAAAGCATATTAATATCAGCGATACATGTCTACAAGTAATTCTTTGATTTAATGATATTTTATAAAGCATAATAATATCAGCGATAAAAATATATGTCTACAAGAATTGAATATTTGTGTTTGACTGAAAACAAATGTTAAGGAATTATCTTAACATGGTATGAAGGGAAAGCTACTAGATATATATATTTCCTTTTGAAGGCTTGAGATGTATCTACTGCTTCGCAAGGGATGTGTAGTATTCAACGAGTACGGACCAAGCTTTTGGAGCCATGAACCCAGATGGTGGGTTTTCCCCGGCACGTGCAATCTTACGCATTCTAGTGCCTGATATAAAGTCGAAATCTTCTTTCTTTTCTGGGTCAAAGAAGTCCATACTCTTCTTCTTTGTGTTGTAGGCAGCTACTCTGAATGGAATGATCTCAAGCTGTGTTAGACCAGGTGCCATTGTTAAAACCTACAATTAAATAAACAACAATTCAAAATAAATCAACGAATAAACAATTTGCATAGGAAAGCCAATGATTGATAATAAGGAGCATTTGATTTGCGTGACGATGTAACTCTAGAATGGATTCACTCATCCATGACTGTTTTTGTGTTCTCTGCACAACATAGATCTGGGCCAAACTGCGTCGTAGAATTCAGACGACGAGAACTCAAAGTTTTTGCATGCGCAAATGATTACTTAGTGATGTTGATACGTTCAAGGTCCTATCACGCAATCGAAAGCTCTCTAATGTACGCACAATAACTATCTAAATTTTTATCCTAACATTAACTCAGCTAGTACTAGTAGTAGAAGTAGAAGTAGCGTAAGATTACTATGCACTTGCTAATAAAGGGATTAGGATACACCTCCACCAATGATAGGTAAAGGCCTAGAGTAGCATAGGCTTAAAATGTAACAATTTAAGCTTAAAACAAAGTAGTGCTTACAATAATAACGAAGCACAGAAAGGGCAACTGATTAATTCACGAGAACAATCGTGTGAAGTTTTGAATCTAGAATTATGGGATTATGTGAAGGCACCTATTAATTTGATTAGTCGCAGTACACATGGATTGAACGGCATTTGTTTTGAATATAGGACACATGTATTGTAAAGCACTAGTAGGGATTTGAATACAGGACTCATAGATTGGAAAGCACTTGTAGAAATTTTAATACAAGACACATGGACTGGAAGGCATTTTTGTAGGGATCTGAATACAAGGCACATGGATTGGAAAGCACTTGTAGGGAATTGAATAAGATACATGGATTGAAGGCATTAGTTCTATGATCTTGTATAAGACTCATTGAAAAATAAAGAAACTAACCTTTCTGCCATGAGAATGCTCGTACAAGTCCCGTGTTTTGTCTGGATGAGGCATGCCTGCGGGATCACGGCCTACAATGTAGAAGTTAGCACCGGTTGCCATACGTGCCTTAGCATGCCACTGAACTTCTGTTGGTCCTGCGTACATCATTGGAGATGGGAAGATTGCTAGCACAGTAGTGTTTGGATCTAACACACCCTCATCCATAACTGCGTGGTGCTGTTTCATACGAATATGTAGTGGTACATCATCAGCCTTTGTCCATCCACCTGGAAAAGTATTGTAATTTATTTATAAATCTATCAACCAATCTCAACAAACATAATTGAACATATTGAGTAAACAGATCAAATTAAATTATCAAAAATAACAAAACACAATGAGTGTTGCACACTATGTTTAAGTCATGCATACACATACCTTTAGTCTCCTATTATAAACCAAACCAGAGGTTTTTTTTTTAGTAATTGTGATTCATTTAACTTAATTATACACTTGTTACACTGCATCTTAAAATTAAGTTAGTACACACTAAATCTAAAACATGGTTCAGATCAGCAGACAGCAAAAACATGTCTTAGGTGGAGTTATGCTAAGTACCTTGTTTAGTAAGGGCCAACTCAGACAGCAGGGCATAACGTGTTGGGTGTGTTAAGTTGATTGAGTTAAACGCGATAGGTCGGCGTCAGGGACAGTCACGCCATACAATATTAAACATGTATAATATTTTCATGATAATCTAGTCTTGAGTCAGTCTAAACATGTGTGATCATTTGGGCATTACCTATGCAATGTATTCGGCATCCAGCAATTTGTAAGATTGCTGTTGTGTATAAAAGTACATACCTAATAATAATAATAATAATAATAATAGTGTAGTTTTATATAGCGCACATATCCATCTAATGCAAGATGCTCAGGGCGCTTGATATGTGGACTAGGAACTCGATCAATGACTTTCTTTGCCCCAAGGGTCCCTTTGTGTCTGTGCTACCCGGCAACCCGGTACCAGCAACTCTCGTCGTCTACCACAGGGGGCTGTCTGTTCCAGTACATCGGGGTATCCCCCTACTCGTCTCGAAGGATGTACTGGGTTCTTTATAGTGCACACAAGCCATTGTATACACTGGGCCTACGGTTTATAGTCCTTATCCGAGAAGACTTGTTCTACCACCAGAACCATAGGTGAGCGTGCCGATCGATCCAGCGCCGATATTATGGCTATAGCTTGCGGCGCCCCTGCTAACCGCTCGGCCATTCGACTCACCTAGTGGATGTAACAGAAGGACAGGCTTCTTATAACCTCTTTCAAGCAGGGTTCTTTTAGTGTCTTGCATCAACAGAGCATGTCCATTGTGGATTGGATTACGAAGCTGGAATGCGAACACAGCATCAGCCCCGATCTCATGGAATTTAGCACGCAGTTGATTAGGAGTCAAACGATACTCCTCAAGACCATCGTTCCATGTGATTTTCTCCAGAACTTCAATGTCACCACCGGCCAACCAATCACCACTTTCATGTACCATCTGTTAGAAAAATCATTACATTAAGTTGTGCTGTCTACCGAAAGTGAGTAGTACTATTTGTAGCACTAATTAGTGAAGTTAAAGCCTTTAAAGGCACACTGTCTGACAAAAATATCAAATAATTCTTTTAATAGTTCAATTAAAAGGACCAAATAAGTGATTTACACACTTTTTACTACAATTGTTAAATTGATTACTAGCCAATTCAAGGGTCTATGCAAAAAAATACAGGATAGGTGTTACTTAATTATTCGTTAATCCTAAATGGTTTTTTTCACCAGGACATTCAAAAGGAATGATAATTTGCCCTACCAGATGTGTTATCATCAATAGCATTGCAGTACCCACTGCTACTTAGCGGTAGGATGCAACACTAGTCATTAAGCACAATCCTGGTGGTCTAGTGGTTAAGACATCTGGAAGTTGTGGGTTTGATTCTCATCCGAATCACTTCAAAAGTAATATTAAAGGTTTATTGATATTCACCTTAATGTACGGGTGGTCTGGATGGTTGGTTCCCCACTGTCTGCAACAACGTTCCTCCTTGCGGTGCTCGTAAAATTCTGGGGTACGCAGAATAGCAAGTCGCTTGCCTTCGTAAGCCAATGCAAATGCCTCTGTTTTCTCAAGACGTTCTTTATCTTCTGTACTAACTGGTAGCACAATTGGAATTGACTGGTTCGTCATCCCTCCTAAAATACAAAAAAAGATGACGTTGAGATCAGGAACTATTAACATTTATTCTGTCTGTTAAGCCCTGTCCAGACTATAAAAAAACATGACATGCCTAAATATGGTCATGATGACATCACATCATGACCATATATAGGCACATCATGACTATATATGGGTGTACATATGCCTATACTTTGTCAAAGAAAATGTGATAGTGTGGACATGGCTATATGCTGGATTAATAATTGCATAGCAGAGATCACAGCTCAGTTGTAAACTGGTAGAAGGCATCGCATGTTGGACCATGGAAATCTTTTGAAATCAATTCCACTTTTGCTCTCCTTGTATTTTACCCGGTGGGCTGAAATGCTAGTATAATATCGGGCAGTACATCAGATGAAGACCCCCTGCTTTTTCCGAATCATGTACTACATTCTTAATGTGCCTCCCAACAGGTACCAGTACAGAACTACTAAAAATTATATCTCTATTTTTAGTCTGTAAAGCCTTTCTAACCCATTTTTAACTCATTTGCCTTGTATCCCTTGGCAAAAGGCATGGTATAAATTTTTGTATTACTATAACACTATCTTTATTCACGTACCATATTGTTAGAGCTACAAAGAATGGTTAGTAATATCATGCCAATGATAACATGGCTTTGTGTGATAATCACCACACAACCATAAATGGATGTTATAAAAAAAAATAATTAATATGGCTTCATCATGACTTCATTAACATAGATTTTACAGAACATTTTAAGTATATTGGTGATAGTAGATGTTGATAGATTAACCACCATATCAATAATGAAAACCTCTCTATCTGTATTATTAAATTATACCAAGTTAATACAGTTTCCCAAACAAGCAAATTCAACAAACATACGTGACAGAGGTGATCTGATGCACATTAGGCCAAACAGTAAAAAAGACATGTTCCTTATTCCCAGTGTTTGGAAAAAGAGAAAAATGAAGAATATTTTCTTATTTATTTCTTCAAAAAGCAGGGCATGTACAGTTGTTCCAATGCCTCAGTCAGGTTTAGGCACACACATACTTGTGACTGATTTCAATTGATGATATATGTTTTGCAGAATCATTTAAAAGACAATTGCTATTAGTACATGTAAAACTGGTAAACACTACCAGTACAGAGAAAGTAAATTCAGGCAGGTATCTCAGAGTTAGATGCAAAAGATGGAATTTATAAGAATACAGTATTAAGATTTGAGGTACCGGTTAGTTCTCCAATAATAATAACTACTGCTATGTTCATCTTATTACTATATTTTTTCATCACAATATTTTGCTTTGTTACAAAAATTATTCATTGAGTTTAATTCCTGAACATTATAATAATAAGTATCTATTACACGCACATCCAAAAAACCTGATCATGACAAGATATATTAGGGAAAAGTTTCATTATGATAATATGTATTTACTATGCAACTCTTGTTCAGAAAATAATTATAAATTGTTTCTCTATGTGAATATTATCTATTACATATTTGATATAATATTGATCTCTTTTAACCTGATTATGTCTGTAACAAGTTTGCATTTCATAAAGACAAATACCTTCTGATCTGTTTGCCATCACATTACAGAAATACAAACCATATCACACTGAGAAAAAACAATGTTACCCAAAGTTTCCAATATACCAACACTTTGAATACCCACACAATCCATGTATCTAATCCTGTATTTTTAATCACATGACCGGATGACCCCTCTGATCCAATATGCTTAGTTGCATAACAATACGACCCCACATTCAAGCTTGACCTTTCATGCACACTTACGTATATTTTGCACTTTCCTCTTCAATGCTTCCACTGTTCCATTAATTGTTAGCATATTGCTGCCAACTAATATTATATTAAAAATCAGGATAAACTTTTAATTCATCTTTTATCAAAGTATTTTTACTAAATGTTGTGACCATGTGATCATTAAAATTGTGTTGTTAAAAAGGGTAAGCTAAGGCATAAAAAATTTGTCAGTTGTTATGCAGGTGAAAACTGTACATTTTGAACTCTTTGACAAAACACACAATCATGCTATAACAGATTCTTTTTTTTGCCCCTTCCTTGCAAGGTTAACCCATAACCCATAAAGCATTGCCGTAAACATAAAAAAGATATGCCTCTTGTAGTTTTTACTTGGCATGAACATGTTAAAACATAAATAATAAAACTATGAAACAGTGACAGTATGTTTAGGTAAATTAACCTTTGACATAGTCATGCACAGTTAAAACTACAAGATGGTATATTCAAATGACTTATTATCAACTCCTGGCAACATTATTCAAGCATTTCTCAAGATTTATATTTGAAGAAAACTCACCATCCAGGAGACAGCCAAAATGCTGGCACTGCAAGTACTCCCTCTCTCGCATGAAACCATTCAGTGGTGAAGCCCAACCTTCTGAGAGAACTTGAAGCCATTGGGTGTCCAACTGAAAACAGACCACAGTATTTTCAAATAAATGCAATAAAAAGTACCAAGAAAGGGGAATACACAAAAAACACAAGGAGAAATGGGGGTACTTAACATAGGAAAAAATGAGAATGCACAAGAATGAAAAAATGAGAATAGATAGCAAAAAAAAAAAAAAAAAATAACCCAGGACAAACCAAAAAGAAATATTTGAAATATTCTTGTGCTTGTACTGTCCAAAATGTAACAAAATGTGAACCTTCCTTGACATACTGACTAACTCCTTTCCGAGCCACTAGGGCTCATGACGCTGAAGCTTATCCCCAGTTTCTGTAGTGTAAAGCGGATGAGAGATGTACTCCCCCTGGACGGGACACTAGTACGTTGCAGTGTTAGTCCCCAGCAGTTTGCTGGTACCCATTGGTACAGCTGGGTGGACTGAAGCAATGTAGCTAAAGTGCCTTGCTCAAGGACACAAGCAAATTTGCACAGCAGACTCAAAACCCGACTTTACGATTGAAAGCCCGAACCACAACCGTTGTGCCAAATTGTCCCTGACATATTGAGGCTTTTAGCAAAATGCATTCGATCAAGATTGAACTATTATTAATAACATTATATTCTATATCATAGATTTTCTACCTTTTGTTTAAAAACACACTTTATATGATAGAGAATTTAATGTCTTTCTTTTCCAAGAATTTGTACTGTTAAATAAATTGGGTTGTGAAACTCTCAAGGTTGGTTTAAATGTTACAAGTTTTGTAAATTCACTTATTCATTCAACCTGTACATACCTTAGTGATATTGAGGCATTGTAGTGACTCGGCTTCTTGTCTTGCTTCCTCAACTCTATCAGCTGGAATAAACAATTCCTTCACTGCCTCTACTGCTGATTCAGGAATGATCTCCTACAAATGAAACCAAGTAAAAATTAGTCCAATATCTTTTGTACAACACACATTTACTACCTCATACTCAGGCTGGGGTACATTCCCATTAAGACAAAAGTTGTAAACATCAGAGAGAGCAGCTTAGCTCCGTCGGCTAAACTGGTGGCAGCCACTGTGTGTGCGCTGAACCGTGAAGATCTCCAGGTCCTCGGTTCAATTCCTATCACTGCTCTCCTTGTGTTTCAGCTGGAGGGCTTTCGGATGAGACATTTAAGCTGTTGGTCCCGTTTGCGTTTATGGCCATGAGCACATTAAATAACGCAGTACACTCTTTGGAAAAGAGTAGGGGATTGTCTCCCGGTGTACTGCCCAATCACAACCAGAAGGACCACACTGGAAATAAGTCTACTTTTGTAAGTTATCCTTGGTGTTTACACCAAATAAATCCATCCATCCATCAATTATTTTTCCTTCTCTCTACCTTTATATTTCTCTGCTAGTGAATAGTTAACTTACGTGGGACTGTAGGAGCTTGACAACATCTTGCACACACGTGTCAATGCCATCTCTGCCAGCATGCAACACAATATCTGGCTTCTCTGGGGCCTCGTACTTGCTGTCAATACCAGTGAAACCTAACAACACGGATGATTCAAATATATCAAATGTTGTATACACAAATACCAATAATAACCAAACAATTATAACTATTATATAAATATTTATTACATTCCAATACACAATGACAACACAAAACATGAGCTATATCATTGAAAACATAATGTTTCTCTTTTTTGCTCTCATATCACTTTCTCCATACTATGTTACGCCTACTGTAAGCCCTATTATTTCGCACGCCATGGTATTTTCCAATTGCCAGTCGCAATACTTGGCTATGCTTAACTACACTACTTGACCTGATCAATGGTATATTTTGTGGAAAAGCTTACTGAGTGGCTTCCAAATTTTAAAAAACAGCAACATGAGAATTCATTTCAAAGAACTTATTGTACTGCGAAACTTAAAGACCCCGAAAAACATTAGTTAGCAAAATCTCTTTAGAATGGCCAACTGTCTATACCTAATCTGAGCAAATCCTTCTTTTAGTTCTCACATCAGTCTCTCTTTAAAATAGTATTACAGTTATTACACCCATCTGAGTGTCACAAATGATCAGCTTCTCATTGGCGGTTCATTCCCATTAAATAAAATAAATAAAAATCAAACCCTCTATTACTTGTGACATCATCATATTCATCCTTCAAGGAATCACTGCCTTCAATTGTAGAAATGATTTAATGGTGAGAAAACAAACCTTTGATAATTCCAGCTCTGGCTTTCTTGTACAGGCCTTTCACATCTCTCGACTCACAAACATCCAAGGGTGTATCCACAAAGATCTCAAAGAACTTCAGACCATTGTCTTCATGGACCTTTCGGGCTTGGTCACGATCCTATAAGTATAATATTTCATGTTACATATATAATATTTAAAAATATTATTTAAAATAGCTACTAAATATTGTATCTTTCAGAATTTATATTATACTTTTATATATTTCTTTCAATTAGGTTTTTTTATGTAGGCCTAGTATTAATTTAACATTTGTCATAAAATATTTATGTAAAATATTCACTATAGCACTTATGTTTGTTGAGAATTGCTTTAATAAATTGGGATTATTCATTAGGTAGCCAACAGACTGATTAATGAAATTCCACTACAACTCTACAGAATACCATTAAGCATACATAATGAAGTTGGGTGGTTAGCAGTCTGGCGCTCGGGAATTTATAAGTATATTTGATAAAGCATTAAACAGTCATAAATGTTATTGATACATTATCAGTCAACTTTTCTTAGTATTAAATATTTTTATTGCTGTTAATACATATAGACATAAGCTCTTAAGAAGTATTCACAGTTTATAGGATGCATAATGTGCTACTACTTTGTTATAACTATCCAAAACACAACATATTATTGTTCCTTTGTTTATGTTGGTATATTTTAGAGTTCTTTTGATGCCCACCATTTTGTTTTAAATCACTTTATAAAAGTAAGACTCCTATTTTAGCTCATATTACATATGTTGACTTTCAATAATTATTTAATAATAAAATTGTTTCTATATAGCAAAAACGACAAACCTTTGCGTAGGGGCTAATGAACGAAGTCAAGCAGACAACACCACCATCGGCAAACAGCTTCGACACCTCACTGACACGGCGAATGTTTTCCTCCCGATCTTCTGGAGTAAAGCCTAAGTTCTTATTCAAACCTTTTCGGAGATTGTCTCCGTCCAATGAGTATGATGGGATACCACGATGGCAAAGATACTCCTCCAGGGCAAAGCTAATGGTGGTTTTTCCAGCACCGGATAGACCTGGAAGATTGAAGATCAAGCAATTAAGTTTCTTTTGTTTCTTTCTACTTTATTTATAACGTTTTAAAGTAAAAATTAATGGCAAATGATCTCGAGTCTAAAATAGTGATTTAAAAAAATTTATTGTAAAAAAAAATCTTGCATATTGATTGAGCCTGTAACTAATTAGAAAGTAATCACATTAACATTTTGTTTAAGTTTTCTTCTAACATTGTTCCTGGGAGGGGGGCTCACCCTTTAATATTTCTATACGGGGAGGTGCCGCATTTACAGGGTACATTTTCGAGGACTTGGTATCACAAATGTGGGAAATATGGGGGTGAGGGGTGGGGGAGTTGATGCATTTGTGGGGTATACTTGCGAGGACTTTGCAGCACAAAGTTTGGTTGGTATGCAAGTGAGCTCCCCAGGTTTTGATCCCATTAAAGGTTTTTTTAAAAATGTAAATAACCTTTCCTGTTTCTACTTTCAAGTGTTAAATTTGGTAATGATTATTGGTAATTTCCATCATAAGCAATATTTGAACAGCTTATCACCTACAGTATTTAATTCACTACACAGATGGCATCAATATTGATTTCTATTGTATTATAAAAGCATTTTAAAGCACAGCTCAGTTCTACAATAGCTTGTAATCAATATAAACATAGTTCAGAAATTATAAGATATCATACAGCATCTGTTGTGTAATGATTTATATTATGAATATATTTAATTTTCATTCAATTTAGCATGTTACCCAGAAATTAGATGATAATAATAAAAAAAACAAAAATCTAATAAAAATAATATTAATATAACGGTAGACTTATATAGTGCATTATAAGACGTCTATGTGCTTCACATTATCATCATTACCCCAGCCACTGGATTAAACACCTATGGAACAAAAACTCAGCTCCCTAAGTGAGTATTCCATAACACTGCAGCAGCTAATCAATGCATTTTGGAATTTACCCTACCATGTACTCAATTATACTCAAGGGTGGAAAGAAGCAGATAAAGTGCCTTGATCAATCAAGTTAAAAAGTTAAATGCACAGTGAGGGATGAAACCGCGACCACGAGGTTGGGAACCAAACTGTTCCCACTTCTATAAATTATTACCCAATTCACAAAAAAAAAAAAAAAAAGATATTACGTGGATATATTCCAAAACAGTGTTCTCGCAATTGAAAACTTTTACTGGTAAATTTGTCCATATAAAGCCAGCTAAGCATGTGAAGTACAGTATTGTAAAGTACTCTTTTAATGGAGTTCAATGGTTCAAAAAATAATTCATATAATCATAGCCTTGGTGGAAGGGAATGATGTTCATTATTTCACTTAAGTTAAGTGACTTAACTTTACTAGAATAACGGTAAATTAACTTGCTAAACGGTAAAGTCGGCTCGGATTACAAGGACACGATTACGTAACGTACAGTAGGCATCTAAGCCAGCATTGTTGTATTGTACCACCATTATCATCTTCTGGCTGGCAACAACATACTCCAACAATGCTAACAACAGCATCGAAATAGTCTCATTAGTCTGGTTTTCAGAAATTATTTGTAATATTATGTGTAAAAACCCAGCAAACGTCCGTTTTACGAATAGTCGATATTACTATTAACCTTTGCCCTTTGCATCATCGACCAAGTAATAACGTTAAAAAGTCTGATTGCTACGTTTTTTCAAAGTGATAATGTATATTTTTCTTAATAATAAAATCAGATTTGTTGTATTTATTTATTGACAATTCAATCTTTTCCATTTCTGCTATAATAGTCGTTATTAATTCAGTTTCAACGAACTACCACCAACGCCAGTCGTTAAAATGAGCGCACATGTTTACGATGACGAAATAAAAAAGTGTGTGGAAGTCAGCAACTTAATTGACACCGCGAAGCTAGATTTTCGCGAAGTGCATAAACAACACAACTGAGCGATCTAAAAACTACAAAACAGGACAGAAAGGTTGTTAAAGTATACAGACGTTTTAATGAAAATGAAAACAATATTTTGTTAAATGGAAGAATGCTAGCTAGCGATTAAAATAATTCGTTTTTTATCGAAGGTCAATTTAGCTAGGGCCTAGAGAATCTACTACTTAGATTACGATAGAACACGCTGCTGCATTGTCGTTGGTTCGTACTGGTCGGCTAGGTTTGGTAGTGGAAACTCACACCTTCTCTACAGTAGTTAACAATTTTTTTGAACAAATATCTCTTGGTACCAGAGGTTAGTAATGTTTTATTAAACAAGCCTTTCCACCGTGTGACGTCGACAGCCTGAAACTGGCTGGCTGTTTATCTGGCTCTAACTTGGCATCGAACGCAATTAGGGGATTATCGTATCATGTTTCAAGACGGGTATATCTAGATAAAGTTTGACGTGAACCAGGCTATTATCATGTGATAATACATTATGACATCATCATAATATATAATACACCAAAATATGGTCATTTGGGTGTATTATGACATAATCATGTGTGAATACATTATGACATCATCATGTGATAATATACCCAAATGACATCATCATGTGTGGACAGAGCTTCTGACTTAAATTTCAGGGTTCTGTTCAAAGCGCTTTACATAAAAACTGATAAAATACAATATAAAACAGGCAGCATTATACAACAAAATTACACAAATATTATATACTGTAGAAAAACTACAAAAATATACTTATAATTAATTACATTGTTAAAATAATTAAAATTGGAAAATTCAGTCAAAAATAAATATTATATAATTACCTAACAAATTTGAATATACAATTCTAAATTATTACAATACAATACAGATCAATTAAAAGTTTTAAATTCAATATCTACAATATTGAAAAACAATCAATTAAAAGGAAAGAAGAAATTGAACCTAGGACCCAGAACTGTGAATCATCAAACAGCTCAACTTCTGTATACTGTACCAGTAATAATATTCATTAGATATAAAGGTTTTGTCTTATTTTACAGCCACTTGAGATGCTATAAAGTGTCCCTACAATTGGAATGCTGAGGAATAACGTGATGGTCATAAAAATGATCCCTCTTAAAAAAGCAAAATTCCACTTGAAGCTGTAATGGGACTTAGCTGTGGCAAAACAAACGTAACCTCATATACTCTAATACATTCTATCAGATGATATTCAGTCGAGGTGCCCCGGTCGAATATAATTTATTGACATTTAAAATTATTTCTATTCAAATTTTCTGTTACAGCATCATGTAATTTCACCCAGTGGAAATCGGCTGCTATCATCATTGACAATTACAGGATCTTTTTGGTTGGGGTGGGTAAACAAATTAGTTAAAGTACAGCAAACATCAGTGACTTGCACTTCTTCAAAACTGAATGTAAATAAATCTAAAGTAGACCTACAGTATGCAAGTCATGATCTTATTTAGCTATACATTACGTACACAATATACACCATATGATATCAATTATTACGATTTTTCATATGATGAAAATTTATAAAAATATCTCCTAATTAACAGAATATGAACTACAAACTTGGAGTTAGTTTGACTTAATGGGTATATACAGTATGATGCAAGGAATTAGCTTGTAAGACTGGGTGGAAAACCTAAAGGCTGGGTAGCCCTACCTACCCACTATACCTAAATGCCTGACAAAGTTCAACTTTGATTTACACTAGCATAAGCCCAAACCTTAAAGTAAAGTGACAGCTCACCTGTAAACCATACGGTGCAACCCCTGAACCCGCCACGGGTTCCCATCACCTGCCCACGTTTATCACGGCTCACATGATGAACCTGTTCGTACACGTTCGTCGCCACTTGCTTATTCTGCAAAATAGAAATTTTGAAATACAATTAGCATGGATTGTTTAATACTCAGAAGACAAAACTACAATATTATTTCACATTGTATTATTTATTTATAACATTTTAAACAGAATTCAAAATGTTATGAAAATTGACTACAAGAACCTGACTTGACAACTACCTTTAACGTAATCGCGAATATGAACAAGGGGAAAAAAATCAATAAATTATGTACAGAATCATGACAGGTTTATGTTACTAGCATACCACTGAAAGAAACAAAACCGTAGGAATATTACCTACCAGCTCTTATTTAAGCTAGCTAGACTTAAGAAGCTAATACCAAAAAGTCACCTGATATCAGATATAAAATACAATATCCGATTCCTTGTCTACACTAGAGAATTCTAATGTTGCTTGCTAGTCATGGTTGGACCTAATAAAAAATGGTCAGATCGCCCAGGTGCATTTTTTAACATAAAGGACCACAACCAATTTTTATTTATTTGTAAAAGTTGATATTTCCAATATGCCACTGAAAATGGTACCATTTTACAACTTTTAAATTTTTAAACTAAATGGTAAAATTATTATTGTATAATATTTTCTTTTATGAATATTGTATTTTTACTGATGACCTACAGCAGGTATTAACAGCAAGGGGTGTTCTTTTTCAAGCTAAGGACAGTAGGCAGGCCACACAAATACAGTTTTTTATTTAACTTTGATGTGTCCCACGAAAGTTGTTACATACCTTTTTATTTAACAACTTTTGTGGAACACAGCAAAAATGCAGTCAGGCAACACATGATCCTCGGGCTGCACTTTGCCTACTTTTACATTAGCCAGTTAGCAGTTTTTAAATTGTACCAAGTGGAATTAATAAAGAATTGAATTGCATGAGTATATAAAGAATGACATCTTCATTACTGACAATCATGCTCAGCTTACAAACATATCTAGGTTGCAATTTAAACTGGTGAAACAGTTAACTGCTATCTTCTGTTCTGCACACTGTCGCCTTCTGCACACTAGTATTCAACATAACAAAAAAAAAAAACAGTACAGGCTGCACAGAATCAGGAGCTTGTGTAAGACTCGCACTGGCAGTAAATGTTAACAGCCACCTCAACTCCCTTCTCACCTACAGCACCTGCTTTATTCTTTCTATGATGGTCATTTTTGGGTTATCTGGATCAATAGTATAAAATTAGAATGGAAAGATGACCTTCGATTTACCTATCTTTATAATGCTAACCATTAGTGCCATGTGTAAACACTGCCAATTTCAAACTTTAAGTTTACAATATGTATATACAGCCAATTAACTAACTGTACTATTGAAGCCTTTACTGCAGGTAATACCATGGAGGTATAAAAATATTTTATACCTCCATGGTAATACTAACTTCCAATATGCATTTTTATAGGAAATATGCACACTTTATAGATATGTTATAGACCAAATTGTAATAACCTTTGTATTGGAAGTGTGCAGAAGATAAGTAAATCTGGGGCTAAGAAAACATAAAGTTTAAAAATAGCAAGGTATCAGATAGATATGTTCATCAATCTCAATTACATACTGTACTTTCCTAAAGCAAACATATTGACCAAATACACCTGATAATTGTACCCAATTCCCAAGTATTTGTACCACAACTTGTGATAGCAGTCAATTATTAATATACCTGTATGTTCATAGGATCAAGGACATTGTTATATTAATCTAATACAGCACACACACAAAAAAAAGGCAAGAATAAATTTCTCTCACATTTCTTTTTTGCATTCAAGAAAATTCACAGTTAAATTATATTCAAATCCCCCTAAATGTTATCTTTCAATTTCTACTAGGTTCATAAAAAGAATTCTTCATAGATTCTGATTAAATTCCATGCAAATTATCGTTCATTTATACAGTATTACACAAAATTTCAAAATTGAAATTACATTCCCCAGAATTAAGGGATACTATTAAAAATCTGGCCTTAATCTACTGTATAGTCAGTTGCATTACCGGTTAAATAGGATAATTTATGTTCATACTTTATGAATATCATATTCAAATAGATGGTAGTGTACAATATGTCATCGTCAAAAATAAGCTTCAGAACTAGAAATTGGAAATTGCAAGTGAAGTGCTGCGAAGTACAACTGCATATAAATGTTCTTCGAACAAAATTATTTATGCGAGTCAAGTGAAAATAATGAATAATAAAAATATAACAAATAATATGAGACATGACCCATTGTCTATATTAGAACACTCCTCATTAGGTAACGAAGTCGTAATTTTTCATTTTTGTCAAAAAGTGTCTACAGTGGTGAATAATGGTTTAGGTTTTTTTAATAAAGTTTCAAAAATTTCTATGTATGTGGAAAATGTAGTTGATTACCAAAGGTTACAATTTTTATTTTGAAGACTGCATGATCTAGGAAGTGTACATTTTTTTATAGGCAAGTTTCCAAGGGCGGGTTTTCTAGGGGCGAGTTGACTGCCAAAGAGTGTTGCCAAAGTGCGAGCCAGTGTGTTATTTGATCACAAGTGCGAGACATCGCAAGTGTGAGCCGGCGAGCCATGACTAGAGTTGTGCGAGGTATCGGCTGAGATTTGTGGAGTACAATTCAAAAAACAACTATAGGTCTAATAATGAATTATTGTGATGTTAAATAGACAATGTTGGCTATCAAGGAGCGACGTTGTTTTTCATTGGGACCTTCGTCCCTTCAAGGCTAGGCCTATACCATCCTAGCTAGTCTAGGCTTAGAGTAGGATAAGGCTAGCGCGACATGTAGACGTTGGTACGTGTTGGTTAGTCTACAAACGTCGCCTAAAGTAATTGATTTTACCCGGCAGAACGGAAGAAGGAAACTCCGCTTTTCAGTCGTCTTAGGCCCTTGTTTTTTGACAAACAATGACCTTTCAGATGTCAAATTGCTGTCAAGAATATGAATTGGCTGCTTCGCATCAATAAAATTTGAATTTCCAGCAAATGCCAACTACATTAAAGAATACTGAAGTCATTGACTCTGAAATGTAATGTTTTTCTATTTCTACAGAGCAATAGTTCCAGAATAACACTTACAAAACGTGTCAAACATCAGGCTCTAATTAATTATAATGTTTTTTTTGTTTTTTTTTGTTGTAAATGTCTATGCTGTCATTGTACCAAGCCACTTTTAAAAGTTAGAAAATAAAGAAGTAACCAACAATACCACTATTACAGGCAGAAAATGGAAACCACAAAGCATCACACTATTTCACAAGCCTGCCAGAAAAATATTAATCAAAAATTGTCGACATATGAATAATATAATTATATATCATTGAACTCTATAAGATTAATGACAGATGATTGTGTGTATTAAATTAATATACAGTAAGTGTTAAAGAGGTGTTGTTTTTGCTAAAATGATGGAACAGAAGAGGTTTCACGAATACATACTTATTATGAACCTCACAAATAGAGCCTGAGGGATTTAGCGATGATTGTGTACAGACGGTTACGTAACATAACTTGGGTATACATGAAAAAAATTACAGTGCGACAGCATATGGAAAAGATAATGTTATGGTTGCGAAAATAACCACCCACTGTTAAAATGAGAAGTAAATGGCTTGGAAAGGCAATACGATTGTTTAAAATAGTGTTTATTCACTTATCCTAGCATTCTCCTTGGATTGTATGCTTTGGAATTTAAGTGATCCTTCATAAACCTTAGCTAGCCCTAACATCACAGCGTAGTGCGCGGGTCAAAGACCATCATGCAAACCTAACCATGCCGTAGATGTGCAGGGGCCGAGGCCTAACATTTGTTGAAAAATCTCAATGTTTGCGGCCAGTATCCTTCACAGCATTAGCAAAACATTAAGGCAAAATTCTTGAGTTTAGTTTCCAATCAATTTGGTATAGTTTACTGGGAATTATGATGATCTTTACAGCAATAAACAAGGCACAGCCACGATAAAAATCTCTATTTAAAACACTGCTGTATCAGTGGATTTTTTAAATCTAATACCCAAGTTAGGTCATGTGACACCCATTGCTAAATCCCTTGATTGCCGCCTGCAACATATAAGGTCCTATCACCATGTATTTAGTAAATTATATTAGAATTGATAACATCCAATATAAAAGGGGGATCATTAACTATTCTTAACTCCTGCCAACAATATAAAGCATAGGAAGCTTGGAAACAAATGGGTAGAAATGTTGATAAAATATTCATGATTTATGTAGCTAATATTGTCTTACAATAAAAAATGAGAAAGGGTTGTGCAAATACCCTCAGATATATTGAAAGACACTGGCATCCGATATTGTTACCAGCACTTATTTAAAACCTACACAGATTTGCAGGTATTCTGGAACATCATAGTCGTCGACATCTTATTTTACATACTAGAATTATGACTGTAAATGATGCAATTCAAAGAAGAAAAAAAAAACCCCACCTGGACTCCAACTAAAACATTTATCTATCTTTAGTTAACTGATCAACACAGCCACCAACTTTTTGATGATGTATAAAATAGATTTGTGCATCTGTGTTTAGGTTTAAACAGCTTAGAGCATGGAGAAAATAAAATATTTTCTCCATGCTTAGAGTATGCTTGCCACTAATAACCTGCTTGTTTTGACAATGTGCAATGTGTGAGTCAAAATTGTATGACAAGTGTAATATGACCTGTTATTCATTGATGGTTCTGGTAAATTCATCCACTTTTTTTATAAATGTCTGTTTGATATTGCTTTTGTACAGTATTCCATTTTCTGTTTTTTAGCTCCAATGAGGAGCTCTATGAGTACCCTGCTGATTGATTAATTATCAGATCATTTTTGTATGAGCGGCCATTACGGCCAATATGCTCTACTACCTTTATTAATTAATAGAGCTCACTGAGCTTTCGAGATTACGAGAACTTGTTTGATATGGACAGTGGATCTCTGAAATAAAATTAAAATTGAATTGTAGGTCCTAATGCACACACTGTAGAGGAATAGCTTGGTATGATA